TACACCGTAACAGAGCCGATGTTACCATGCATACACCGTAACAGAGCCGATGTTACCATGCAGACAACGTATCAGAGCAATTCAGATATCAGCAGTAACTGTGCAGACTTATAGAATAAATATCTGTATGACGATTAAACATTAATAAAAATCGGTAAATAGTTAAATTGTACATAATTAATGTGATAAAATGAGCACTGTGATATGTTTGAATCACCTTTGAAAAGCTACGTTCATTTGACAGACTCGATGCGAACATCATTTGAAACAGTGATATATAAATGTATATAAACAGTGTTATATAGAAAAGTTTCGTTTGCTTTTAAAATGACTGATCATATCTACGTCACAGCCTGAGAAATTGGTACATGTATGTGCAAGTGTACTACAACATATACCCTTTTCCGAAAATACAGTATTATTAATACAAGACGTGCAATAGACTTGCTCTCGAGTCGTGTTGTTTTTTCTAAAACAAATAATCAAAACAAGACAGAACAAAAAACAATGTTAAAACGGCATAGAATAATCGCGACATGCTTTTTTGTGAGCACATGTTCCTGAGTGATCATGCAGGGTAAATATTTGCATATATTACGTGGTTATGTTCAACTTGAGATTCAATTAGTACGAGTATTATACACATTACCAATACGTCGCGCCCTCTATCGACGTACTAAGGACCTATCAATGTCGTTCGTTCACAGTGAACGACAACTTTGTTGGTTGTGAACTTATTTGTCATATCCAATCTCTCAAAGTGATATCAAAAGTGTGAGTAGCCCATGATGGCAGCAGTCTACGTCATAAAAGCAACTCGTCACTAGAGGGCGTAAGTTACGGGAAACGCACGTTGTCATGAATTAGAACAAAATCAATATTATTTGTTTCCCGATAGACTACTTTTTACCGCACTTGACACAGCAGCAGATGCAGCCAACTACACAGCAAATGCAGACTATGACGATGGCGACGATAATTCCAATCACAATTCCCAGTCCCATTGCTAGGAACTTACCAAAGAAGCTGAGTACTTCGGCTGTGAAGAAAAGAAGACATAAACGGACGTTTTTAGTGACAGTTCAAATTACAAATATACGTCAATATATGCGTGTAATGATTGTTTACAATTTACGTGTTTGACAGACACAAGACAATTTCGTTGTTGTTCGAAATAACAGAAATATTTTACTTACGTTCGTCACTCAAGTCACCACAGTTGTCCCGTAAATTATTTTTCAACTCACTCGGAATACATCTGTCATTGGAACATGCAAACTCCGTGGTCGCATCACAGGGGGTCGCTGAAAACAAAATATGAATTTTTAAATTAAGGTAGAAGCTTACTCATGAATGCAAGTAACCATAATTTATTCATTTTGAAATAAATTGCACTTCACGGACAATATAAGAATATTGACTAACAATTTTTAGTGAATAGTGTCCATTTTGTCAGTATTATAATGCGTTTTACCATGAGAGATACCATATCTCAAATTGCAGGCTGGTGACATAGACTGAAAACAACTATGTGTTGTGAATGATGACGGGATAGTTTTTGTTGTCCTAAATATTTCAACAATTTTAGTTTTAAAAAGTGTCAACAAATACAATTTTTCTTAAATATTGTGTTCTATGAAATTGTTCTAAAATAGCGATTTTTGAAAAACATTGAAAAAGTTTCTCAAAATACGTCACTGTTACACACAGAATGCAATTTAATCTAAATCCAGTGAATATTGTCATGCGGTAAACTTTCTCCAACATTATCAGTAGATTATGTGGATTATAATGAATTTGCTCTACTCATTAAAGGGCAGTAGTCGTCGCGCCACGCATGCGCGAAAATATGGGTCTCATATAAACAAAGATGGCGACTTTGACTGTTGTGCAGATCAATGTGTACAAACTGGGACGTTACCAAGCTTTAATTAGGAATGTTTTAGGCTATTGCAAAGTATAGAAGGAGTTACTAGCGGTAATACGTACAAGTCGTGACCAGGTCAAACCTCATACTTATGATTTCCATCAGAAGAGCGCATTGGATTGTGGGAAAATCAATGTTTATCAACAGAAATGTCGCACATGCGCAGCGCGACGACTGCCGCCCTTTAAGTTCCTTACAATATCAGTACACAGATTAACTCAGATGTTTCATAGTCATTGAACTCTGACCTCCAGTAATACAGGCATATATCGAGTCGGATGTACTTTGTGAAGAAGATATATATCAATGATTTCTTACATGTATATAGATTGAAATTAATGATAAATCCATACGAATTGTCGCTGTTGTCTGTAGTCCAATAGAGGACAGTTTCATTAGTCGATGTGGCATAACCATAGCTTGGTACGTTGAGGAGATCACCACATAACCCGTCTGTCGGCGATAACCAACTGCCAGAGTCGAGACTCCCATCCCAGATGGACAGCGCATCGGCATCGGAGCACGTTGACGTACTACCCGTATCCACCTCAAAGCTCACAAAGATGAGTAAAATCTTCTGGCCCTCTGGAGCTGTTATGGTTACATTGCAATTCATATTATCTTCGTAATAGAGTGATGCACTCGTATACAACACACCATCCGGGTCACTAGCTGTCAAGCTGATGACTTCACCACATTCACTGTCCATAAAATACCCTAAAAGAAGCAATCAGAAATGATTATACTCAGATTTCACATCATTTCTACGTCAAATAGACTCCAATAACAAAATAATACAAATGTATATGAATCGTACAATCTATGTCACCGCTCACCATGATTTTTCATTCTCAGAGGAGACTAAAGTTCTCAAAACCAACGAATCATCATTATTCATCATTTCACACAATTATGTACATCAATGTTTTCAGCAACATATTCGGCGACTCTATATTTGCATTAACAGAACCTGTTTTAGCTTCATGATATGGGAAAGGGAAAGAAACTGAAATTAAACACATTACATCTTTTTCACTTTTGAGTAGTATTTTGACCACTGAGTTCAACCCCACGTGTTGGCGAGGTTCTGAATTGATGACTGTTATTGATAGTATTAGAATATCCCACACCCAAATTTTCGGATCATATGATTATACTGTCAAGGTCTCGCGGTACTTTCGAAAGGGTGGAATGGGGAAGGGGGCTTCTGAACAAATACGAAACCGCCATGGACGATGAAATCGAACATACACGCGGAATTCATGATGTAATACATATTTATTTGGACGATTGTTTTGATGACATACATCGCGACTAGTTCGAATTAAGATGAATAATAAGGCCGATGTGATGAATTACTCGGGTAAATAATTTCACGTGATACATAATCCCGTAATTGGTCTGTTAGAAATCAAAACATGGTGCTACTACTGTGCATGACAGAGAACATCCGCATAGTAACGGTAA